TTTACAGATGAGGAAACTGAGGCTAGGAGTGGCTAACTGTCTTACTCAGGGTCACACAGCTAGTAAGGGTCTGAGGCAGGACTCAAACTCAGCTTTTCCTGGCTCTTAAATCTAGGACTCTTCAATATACCACCTAGCTGCCCTCCTAATCCAGTTCAAGGTCCCTTCACTTCTGTTCTACTTTCTGTGTGTGTGTGTGTGTGTGTGTGTGTGTGTGTGTGTGTGTGTGTTGGGGGGCAGCATTTGGGGTTAAGTGACTTGCCCAGGGTCACACAGCTATTAAGTGTCTGAGGCCAGATTTGAATTCATGTTCTCCTGACTCCAGGGCCAGTGCTCTGTGCAGTATGGTACCACCCAGCTGCCCCTCTATTCTCTGTTCTTTACCAACCCTGCTATCACTGGGAATTCGGAGGATTCAGAGGATTCAGAACTGGGAAGATGACCGTAGAGGTCATCTAACACAATGCATTCTTTTGCAGATGAGGAAACTGAGCAGCAGAGAAGTTAAATGACTTTCCAAGGGTAACTCAGGTGATAAATAGCATAGCTAAAATTTAGTCTAAAATCCAAGCCCGCTGACTCCAAATTCAGTGCTCTTTCTACTTTGCCATTAAATGTCCTGTGCCTCTCTTTGCCCACTCATCTTTGCCTTAACCCCACCTTGCAGTGGGTTGTGTTAAGTTAAGGAGTATTCAGTGCCCATGATAGGTAGGTTTAGTTTTTAGAGGCTCACCTTATACAGCTGCTGTCAGCATCTGCAGGGCCTGACCTCAGGGGAGATGGGGACAGGGTGCAAACTTAACATCTCCCTTCCTCCAGTTCCATATCCAAACCAGGACTCTCATCCCCTTCTCAGCCAGGGAACTCTTCATTTGGACCAGGAGTCTGAGGCTTCACTTTTTGTCATTCTTCAATCATTTTCAATCTCCCTTTCGTGATCCCATTTGGGGTTTTCTTGGCAGAGATACTGCAGTGGTTTGCCATTTCCTTCTCCAGCACTTTTTACAGATGAGAAAACTGAGGCAAACAGGGTTAAGTGGCTTGCTCAGGGCCACACAACTAGTAAGAGTCTGAGGTTGAATTTGAACTCAGGTCTTCCTGACTCCAGGTCCAGCACACTGCTGACACCTAACTTCCCCAGCTTAGTTGAAGAGTCTATTCCCAGTTCTGCCCCTTTGGGGCAGGTCACTTGATCCTGGGCAAGTATTTAACCTCTGTCTACCTTTCTTCAACTGTAAAATGGAAATAATAATAGCACTTACCTTCCAAGATTGTTGTGAAGATAAAATAAGATCACATTTGTGAACAGCTTAAGTAGCATAATGCCTGCCATATAGTAGGTACTTAATAAAGGCTCATTTCCTTCCCAGGCCTGAAAGAATCATTCTACAAGTCACACAGTTTCTTCTGACTCCAAATCCACCCCACCCCATACCTCAATGCCAAAGCATCAGAGTGATCAGTGCTCTGAGAAATGGGGCATTAGGTAATAGGATCTGATCTCTGTGCAGCCCCCCCCCAAAGTCAATCCCACTCATGGGACAAGGTGGGAGGACAGCTGGTTACAGAAATGGGAGAGGTGAAAGGGCAAAATGAGGAGAGAGAAGGCAATTGGGTGGGTGATTGGGGTAGCCCTGATGGAACCTGAGGTCTCAGGGGTCCACCTCATTTTGTCCCTTCTGAACCCTGCCTAACCCCATCTCGCTCTGTCTCTCTACAGCCTCTTCTTCCTACTTCTGATTCTGTCCCTCATCTTCATCTCTACATCTCTCCCTGTTCCTCCTCCTCTTTGTCTCTCTTCCCTTTTGGCCTCTGATGTATATCTCTGCCTCTGTCTCTCTTTTCCCTGCTCCCCATTATTCTCTACTCCTGTCCCCTTCTTACCCCTACATCTCTTCCTCTCCTTCAAGGATTTCATATCCGCCTCTATCTTTCCTCCTTCTCAAGCCCACTTCTTTGTCTCTCCCCTCCCTGGCCCAGGTCTCTCATGGTCAGTTGCTTTATCTTTCTCCCTTCCCTGCCCCCCATATTTGTCTCTCGGTGTGTCTGTGTCTCCTCTCTTTCCCTCCTCCCCTTTCTCTTCTTTCTGGGATCTCACCTTTATCCTCCCATAGGTCCCTCTTCTTGTGTCCCTATGTCTGCCTGTGTTCCCTCTATCCAGCTGCAGGTTTTATGGTAAGAATACCCCAGGCCTTTCCTGGGGATGGAGGAGGGTGTCTGTGCCACATGCGCCCCCTATCAGAGCCTGGATTTGAGGGTGTCTGTCACTGTTTTTCTGTTCCTCTTTGTGTATCTTTCAGTCTGCTTGTGTGCCTGTCTATTGTTTGCAGCCCTTTCCCTGTTAGATTAAACAGGGCAGAGGGAACCATGAGAAGCCGAGTGCGGATGACATGCTAGAGTGGTCTCTCTGGCTCCCACGCCACTGGGCCTGGTGCTTATCTCCTTCTCCATGCCAATGGGACCTGCACAAGAATGGGCACAAGGGTGGGAGGGTTGACATGGGCCCAGCAACTGTCTTCTTCCTCCCCCCTTGGCATCCTCCCCTCTCCACCTCCCACCAGCTGAGAAAGCAAAGTCAGCAGTGCAGCCTCTTGGAAAAACTGCTGTGTTTAGTGGGGTGGAAGCTGGGGGAGGGAGGGGGAGAATGGACAGGGAGAGAGGTACCTAGTCCAGCTGGCCCTTCCCCCTTCCCCCCGCCTTCCAGTGGGGGTGAGGGGTGGTGAGTGCACATAAAGCTAAGCTGGAGCAATGCCATATAGTGAAAGGAACGGAGAGAGAAACTGAGGTCCCAGGAGACCCCCAAACCACTCCAATGACTGTCTGTCTGTCTGCCATCGATCTGTCTCTGAGTCTGCCTGTCTCTCCAGCTCTATCTCTGTGTCTGTCTATGTATATGTCTGTGCCTGTCTTTGGCAGTCTCTGAGTCTGTCTGTCTGTCCAGCTCTGTCTCTGTGTCTCTGTGTCTGTGCTCATCTGGATCTGAGTCTGTCTGTGTTTCTCTGGATCTCCATCTGTCTGTCTTAGTCTTTGTGGGCCTGTCAGTCTTCTTGTCTATGGATATGTCTTTTGTTTGCCTACAAGTTGATCTGTCTAGTTTGGCATGTATGTTTGTCTGTCTATCTGTCTATCTTTGTGCAGCTTGAGTGTTTATCCCCACTGACTGGATGAAAGGACTCCCTTTAGGGGCAGCTAGGTGGCGCAGTGGATAGAGCACCGGCCCTGGAGTCAGGAGGACCCTGAGTTCAAATCTGACCTCAGACCAAGCACTTGACACTTACGAGCTGTGTGACTCTGGGAAAGTCACTTAACCCCAGTGGTATAAAAGAAAAACAAAAACAAAAAATAAAAGGACTCCTTTTCTCCAGGTAGAGCCCCATAGTAGAAGGAGAGTATGGGCTTAGGTCAAGCCCGAAGCCTCAGAGGGCAGCTTCCTTCTTACTTATGACCTCTAGGCACCTGCAAGAGCCTTCCCTGCAAAACCCACTATGCTAGCGCGCACACACACACACACACACACACACACACACACACACGGGAGCAATTGGTTGTAAAAATTCTGTTGTGATGGCGTGAAGGTGGCAGGAGGAAGGAAGGAGGAATTGGTGAGAGAAGGAATTCTGAGGGGCCTGGTGCCAGACTAGTCAGCGTGCCTCCCTGGGGAGCAAGAGTCCTATTGTCGGGAATGAAAAGCCCTTCAGGGACTAAGTGCTGGTGTGCAGATTTGGGTAAAGCCAATCCTGTCCCCAGCCACATGGTGGGAGCCCTGCCTGGTCTGCAGAACCCAGGGTCGGACTGGCACCAGGGGCAAAGAGGTATATTTGAGGTGGGGGGAGCAACAGTTGTGCTTTTTTGGCAGGACCCCTTGCCAACTCTAACCTTGGCAGCTTGGCCGTTAGCATTGTCCCTTCCCCCTCCCCACAACTCCAGCTATAAATAGCTCCCTGCACTCGCCTTAGTAATGACGTGGCTCAGAAAGGCGGAGGGGAGTCAACTTTGCAGAGCCAGTGGGCGGGCTGAGGCTGGAGCTAGGGGACGGGAGCACCCCTTCCCCCTGCTGTGCCATGGCCCGATGACGGGCATGATTGAGTCATCTCTTGGGGCTCAGCTGCCCCACGTCACTGTCAGCTCCTCCAGGCTCTTCTTTCTCATGATTAATGGGGTGGGGTTTGAGGGACAGTGTTGGATCAGAGTCATGGTGGGGAGGAAAGAGTGTAAGGGGGTGAGAGAGAGAATGAGAAAGAGCAGGAGAGCAAGAGTCAGTTCTGAACTGGCCATTAGGAGGCATGTGCCCTGCCTTCTCAAGGGGCCAGATTTGGGGCTTCATTAGCACAGCTGAGCTTGGACATTGCCTGAGACGTTTCGTACTTTGCCCTACCTGATGAGCTCACAGCTGCCCTCGATAATTGGGTTTAATTAATAGTAAAGCAGTCAGATTGGCCAACAAGAGGGAGGATTCCCATTTACCCTTATCCCCCCACTCACCCCACTCTCCACCCCTTGGTCCCACAACCCTACAGGCTGTGTGCCCTGGCCACTGCAAGTTTTAAGAAACCTAGGTCCAGATGTTTTCACCCCCTTCACTTGCACTCTATCACACCCTTCTTTTTGCAGGAGAAATTGATACTCTTTGAGGTTGGGGTCCCTGTAGACATGGCCTGGGGAGGCAGCCAAGGGAAGGTCTGGGCACCACCTCTCATCACTTAGTCTGTGTTACCCCACCCCTTCTCTCCAATGTTTCATCAGTCCCTACCCTTCTCCCCCAATATTGGCTCCTGCCCAGCTCTTCTTCCAGGATCCCCCTAACCCTTTTTCCCCAGTGTCAATTTCTAGCCCCTGCCTGTCCCCCATCCCTTACCCTTCTCCTCTCATGTTTATCTGACCTTCACATTTCCCCTCCAAATCTGCCTCCCTCCCCTCAGACCCTGCCTCCTTCCTCCCATCCCACCTCCACCCCTAAGGCAGCCAATCAGAAACACAGAAGGCACATGTGGGTCACAGGTACATTTAATCAGTGGGTCTGGGGGCCCAGCAGCGCCCAAGTCAGACCTGTCATGCAGCCTGTATGTACAGTGGGCATCGTGCCTGCCCCAGAGGGGTAGTGCTGGGGCAGCCTCGTGGCAGCAAACAGGGCAGTGTGGCTTCAGCCTCTCCCCACCCCAAATCTGTGAACAGCAGAAAGGAGGGGAGGCAAGGGTCTTAGGGTAAGGATCTGTGCCCAGAGTGGGGGAGGCATTGGCTGGCATGGTGAACGAGGTTCTGAGTTTGGGGCTGGGGAGTTGGGGCCAAAGAGGAGCAGTCTTCACAGGTGAGGCCCCACAGTGCATCTCCTTCAGTCTGGGGTGCTTACACTTCTTCCCTTCCTTGGGAGTCTCAATTTCCTCCCAACATCTGTCTCCCAATTCTCCATTCCTACCCCAGGGGTCTGCCAAGAGTGCAGGGGGAACAATCAGGAATACAGCTCCTTATCTCGAGTAGGGGGTGGAACACCTGAAACATTCAGCCCTTGGACAGGACTCTTTTTAAAGTGCCTTCTTATTCCCTGTGCCCACCCCAGCTTTGACTTGGGCTCACCCTATTGAGAAGATTTTTCCAACTGTCCCATTCCAGCTCTTACAGGGTTGTCCAGATAATAGAAGAGAGGGGAGACCAGAGAGAAAAGTGGATCAGGAAAATAAAACTGTCATCAGTTTTCTGATCTGGGCAATGGGTTTGTCTCCCATTACCTGAAATGGGCTTGTCAGGCCCCAGACAACAGGTAGATTTATAAGTATTTTGTAGCCACCAGAGCTATTCCCAATAACAAAAAGCATGTTATGGTTTACTCTTGTTACATCTGGATTGCTTTTCATTGGAGCAGCTGTGTCTATAGGGTGGGCCAGTTTTTGGATCTTCTGGCCTTGGATAGAGTTCAGAACATAGCTGGGCTATTCTTTCCCCAGTTGTGAGGGTGAGTCCCTAGAGGTGGAATGAAGAAAGGCCCCATCTTGGTTGTTCCAGCTATGATTTTCTCTTCCCCCAAAACAAGAGAACAATCTTGGTTCTTTCTCCTTGATCCCTCCCCTCCTCTGCCAGCCCAGGTTTCAAGTTATGGGAGAGACCAGTGAAACTTTCCTGAGAATTGAGTGAGTGAGAGACGGTGATATTGGGGAGGCAGCAGTCAGGACCACAGAAGCAGAGAAGGCCCTCCCATATCTCCCACCCCCTTCAAACCCTGAGGGGGGGAGTGGGCGTTGAGAGGGGCCCAGGAGAAGGGGACATTTTTCCCTCCCCCAACACCTCCCCCATGCCCAAATGGACAGAGACAGAGAGACACACACAGACACACACACACACAGGCTGGGCTAAGGGGGAAGGTGGCACAAGGCATGCAACTGAAAGGGGAGGATTCTGGGGAGAAGTCACAGCAATCCCTGGAGGACAGATCTGCCCAGGGCTTGACTCGTTGTGGCAGCAGGGCATTGGTGGGTGCAAGAATTGGCACCTTGGCATGGGGGCTGACCTGCCTGTGGTAGCTGATCCCTGCCCTTAACTTGCTCTCCAACCTGCCCTCCAGAGGAGACACAAAACTTTCGTGATTGTAGAGCATCTGTGTCTATTTTGAGTGGTGCCCAGCAGCATGGCAGCAAGTGAGCAGGGAGACGTGTAAGGAGACCCTGCTGCATTCCCTGGAACCAGAAGCCGGGAACAAGGGGGCAGAGTTGATGTCTGGGTCATCTCCTAGGGGTGGGGCACTATCTTCTTCTGTGCCTGCCGTGCTGATTTCAGATCTCAGTCAGAGCATCAGCAGGTACCAGACCTCTCTTCTTGCCACTGCTAACTCGGATGAAGCCATCAGCATCCTTGCTTCTGCCCACACCTACGCAGATCTGAGTAGGAAAGATGGAGGGCTGAGTGCTCAGAAGCAGCCAGGCAGGGTGGTGCTGCCCATTGCATTGGTGAGATACTGGTGGGTACAGAGCCCAAATAATTATAGACTTCCCCCCTTTCCCATTGTAGTTACTTCCATAGCTATTGCTTCCCTCCCTACTCCAGCAGGGAGAGTGAGGAAGAGCAAGACGTTTGGCAGCCTTAGATTAGGATGGCGGCTTGGAGTGGGGGGAGTGTGCAATGGAACAGTCTGAAAGGGGCACAGAGCATATATCCCGGGACCTAGACCCTCTACCTTTGGGTTCTCACTGTCTTGAGGATCCAGGCTGGCCTGAAGTCATTTCTTTCACTCTGCCTGCCTCTGCTTCCTCCCCTCTCCCCCAATCTTTGAGGCAAGAATTCTGTTCTAGGCTTGAGGAGAGGGATAGGTGGGAGGGAGAAGACCCTCTCTGCACACCTGCCTTTCTCCCCACTCTAAGGCTGATGGGATTCTCTTCCTGGCACCATACAAGAGCTTTCTCCTGCCCTCCATCCCTAACTCTGTCTCCTTTACCCAGCCTCTTTTCACCCTTTGGAGGGCAGAGCACCCCAGGCCACTCACCTGGCTCTCCTTGAGGCTCATGTAGCCCTGTTCCTTATTCCCAGAGAACGGCTGGCAGCACCGCCACACATTTTCTCCTGGTCTCACCCGCTGCACAAAATTGGCAGGGAAGAAGCCAACGCGATCTCCGATCTTGCCCTGTCCAACAAATTCAGTGAAGCTGGTGGGGGCAGGCCTTCACCCCGACCTCAGCTCCAACCCAATGAGCTCACCTCCAATTCTCACTCTGTTTCCCAGACCTCAGGCCCTGAGGCAGCATGTCACCAGCTCCAGCTGAATTTAATCTTTCTTTTATTTTCTAAACCAACTTTTACCGTCTTGATACTTGGGGGTAGGAGTGGACAGGGACCGCTTCCAAGAAGATGAAAGAGGAAGCTGGGTACTTGGGAAGGTGGGAGATGCCCAGGCTGGGCTGGTGGTGGTGCTGGTGGGCCGGGGTTTGGAACCTAGTTGGGGACACTGCTCAGAGGGTGACATGTGCTGCAGTGGGTCCTGCAGCTTCTGTACGGTTCTGTCCTCTCCTTTGATCCTTTCCCCCTCAGGCTGGGCATGGAAAGGGGCACAAGGATCCCCTCCCCAACTTCCCCTTCCTCAACACCAACCAGCCTAATCACCTTCCACCAGTCCTCGTTGGAATCGTCCACAAGCATGATCCGGTCTCCTGGCCTGGGGGAAGAGCAGACCCGGGATAGTCCCTGGGGACAGGGGAAGGACCCCTCCCTGTCCCCCGCCTGACCCGAGCTGTGGCACCCAGCTGCCCTCCCCAACTGAAGGAGCTTGTTCAGCATCTTTGTGGTGATGTTGGGTGTCCTGGCACTGCCAACACCTACAGGCCCATGCCCAATCAGGGAAAGTGACACCCTGGGGAGAGGGAAGGATCAAGGTTCTGGGGCTCTGGGAAGACACTTACTGTAGTGCCAGGTCGTTATGCTCTTGGGGCAAAAACTTGTAGAGAGCAACGTAGGAATACATGGGGCCTATGTCCTTCCGAATGGTGCCCTTGGAAGCCTGGGGTGTCATGGTAGAGAGATGAACACTTAACTCAAAGCCAGAATCTGGCATCCTACAGGGGCACTCATTCAATGAGAACTGCAGAATGTCAGAGATGGAAGGAACTCGAGACCTTTTTTTTGAAAGGAAACTGAGGAGGGACAGCTAGGTGGCACAGTGGATACAGCCTTGGAGTCAGGAGGACCTGAGTTCAAATCTGGCTTCAGACACTTGACACTTACTAGCTGTGTGACCCTAGGCAAGTCACTTAACCCCATTGCCTAGCCAAAAAGGAAAAAAAAAGGAAACTGAGGCCCCAAGAAGTGAAAGTGCTTGCTGAAGGTTGTACAGTGAATTGGTGATGAGAGGCCTAACATTTTAGAGCTAAAAAGGAATCTTAAACACCACCTAGTCCAACCACCTCATTTTTCAGATAAGCCTACTCTGGCACTGTTCCCCTGCCCCCCATCTATACCCAAATGGCACAGGGCCTTACCTGCTGCTGTCCAGGGCTTTTCTCCTCAGGGCCTGTCACCTCACTCTCAATTGGTGATGTAAAGACTAGAAGAGTGAGAAGAGGGTGGTGTAAGGATTTGGGAGAGGAGGGGCCCCCATCCCCTGGCACTGGCATGCCCTCTTCACACTCACCACTGTCACTGGCACCCTCCTCTGAGCTACGAATGCTACCTTCCCCATCCTCTGCCAATTCATCTCGCTCACTCTGGGAAATAGACAAGGAAAGGGAAAGAAAGGAAGGAAGGCTGAGGTGGAATCCTCAACCCTCTCTCCCAGTGTGCCCCAGTATTTTCTCTCAGTGTTTGCCAGCCTTTATCCTTCTTTCCCTAGTCTCCCAGCCCCAATCCCCCCCCCCGTGTCTCCCCCCCCGTGTCCCCCCCCCCCCCCCCCCCTTTCCTTGTATGCTCTAGCCCCCATCCATCTTCCCTCAGGGACCTCATAGCCCCATCTCTCTATCCTAATATGTGCCATTCCTAATGCCTCTCCCCCCAGTGGACCTCAGCCGTAGTCCCTCCTCCCCCACATGCTTTTCCCCCATGCCTGGGCCAAAGTCTGTACCAGGCTTCGGGTGGGGGACTCCGAAGTGCTGCTGAAGCTTGAACGGTTCATTAATGCCAAGGAGGTACCATAGCGGAGGGTCTCATAAACGGGATCCACTTTCCCACTGGCACCTATAAAGTTTGCACCTTCAGGGACCTAGCAGCATATCTTTTCTTAGGAATCTTCTTACTCCCTAAAATCTAGATCCACGGACACTAGCATCTGGACATTTTAAAAGATGGTACAATGCCCTGGGTGGGCAGTGTCAGGGGCCACTCTTCCTGAGACAGTATCCCCTACCACAAGAAGACATTAACTCCCCAGTCTAGAAGCCTGAGGCAGCTTTGCTCACTATCATCTGGGAGGAATAGGAATTAGATGTGTGCTTACCAGCTGGTGGAGGCTCCTGGGCACAGGCTGGGGGTGGCTCATGCACCAGGAGAGGGGAGCTGAAGTTGCGTCGGAAAGAGGTGGACTAAGGAGGAAAGAGGAGAGAGGCACCAGTGCCATCATAAGGGACAGAAAGCTTGATCTTTCTTGGTGTCTCCCATTGCAAGGAATTAGCTCTTTGCAATGGGGGAGGAAGATGCAGTACCCTCCAAGGTACTGATGGGCACATAGTAGTCAACTGGAAAGAGTCTAGATGGACTCTTGCTCACCATTTTGCCTGGGCACTGCTGGTGGGATATTTCCTCAGAGCACCAGAGGTGGACGCTGGCCTTGCATGTCTTACATCGTAAGCCCTGCTTGGAGTTGCCTAGAGAGTAGTTTGGAGTATGGAGGACAAGGAGGAAGGTCTCTCCTCCTCCCTGCTCCCTCCATGCACACATACACATTGGTTGGCAGAATAGAAAGAATGATAGTGGGCAGAGGGTGGATGGAAATAAAGATGGGAGGCACAGTCACAAGGAAGCTTCTGTTCATGTCTGTCCTCCTGGATGGACAGGACCTACCCATGAGTTACTTAGGGTAGGAGGTAATATTATAGAGAACAGCTATGTGAGGCAGGGAGAGAACTCCCCACCTCATGTCCCATAAAGGCAATGTTGGCATTGGAGGGCCAGGGAGAACTGGACTGTAAAGGAGGCAGATCCATGCTGTGCACCCTTCCATTGCGCCACCTTGGCACTCCCACCTGTGCCCATCTCAGTGCCAGGCACCTACCCACGATAACCTGGTGGCAGAGTTCACAGGGGCCGGCACGTTTGAAGACATGCTCTTGGAAGCTGTGGGTCCTCAGGGGCTTGAGAGGTGCCAAGGGACGTTGGACTGGACAAGGGGATCGGGCAGAGGTGGGCAGGCCTGGATCAGTGGACACGGCTGGAGGTGAGGGGGGTGGCATGGGGGTGGGGGGGGTCAGCAGCACCTCCGTTGGGCACTTGAGCTCAGTGCTTGAGCGAAGGAAGAAATTCTCCACGCTCTTGCTTCGAAGGATGGTCTTGAGGGACAAGGAGCGCTTGAAACGCTGAAGCTGAAAGAGAGGACGCCATGGTCATAGGGGACCAGAGTTCATAGAAGGGTAGGCTTTGATTATATCCAGTAGTGCCACCCCCCCCACACACACAACCCAAAGCACCAAAGCCCACATTGATAATACTAATTAATGTCAGAGGGCAGCTAGGTGGCACAGTGGATAGAACTCTGGGCTTGGAGTCAGGAAAACCTGAGTTCAAACCTGGCCTCAGACACTTACTAGCTGTGTAACCCTGGACAAATCACTTCACTTTGTTTGCCTCAGTTTCTTTTTTCTTTTTTTCTTTTTTTTTTGTTTGTTTATTTGTTTGGGCAATTGGGGTTAAGTGACTTGCCCAGGGTCACACAGCTAGTAAGTGTCAAGTGTTTGTCTGAAGCCAGATTTGAACTCAGGTCTTCCTGACTTCAGGGTTGGTGCTCTATCCACTGTGCCACCTAGCTGCCCCTTGCCTCAGTTTCCTTATCTGTAAAATGAACCGGAGAAGGAAATGTTAAACCACTCCGGTATTTTTTGCCAAGAAAATCCCAAATGGGGTCATGAAGAATTGGATATGACTGAAATGACTGAACAAATCAATGTTGGGGCTCAGGACTGGACTTGGGAATCTAGAGCCTAAAGGAGAGGAGGCAGGCAGGTTCTAGATCAGGACCTGGTGTTCTAAATCCAGTTGATTTTCAGTCTTCATAAATCCATACATTCCTTGCTTCCAGCATCAACCCCAGAAAGTTATCCTTCACTTCCCCTCCCACTCCTAGTGAGAAGCCCAGAACCCTCGCTGTCCTACATCCATCTCACGGTCCCATTCCTGGCAATGTTCTGCCTGACTCAACCTTCCCAGAGAGATATGAAGATATGGGCACAGAGTCTGTGGCACCCTTAGTCAAGGCTCCCAGATGATGAGCTGGACAGCATAAGGTACCACAGCTGCCAACCTCCCAGCCCTGCCAGGGGAGGAGTGGATGCAGCTGCTGGTTTGGAGAACACAGACACAGCCTCTCTTGCCACCCCAGCCTCTGCAGGACAACAGGAGGGAAAGATGGGGGTCTGGGAGGATGTACATGATAGACCCACAGCTGCCAATCATGAAGCCTGAACTCTGCAGGATGTCTGGCTTCCCCAGTGGTTGGCATCACTGGATCACTGGAACATCTTCCAAACCCTGGCTTCCTGGATAGAATTGTTGGTCTCTGCCTCTGCAGAGCAGATAATAGAGTCTGGGCCCCCAAGATCGCTCTGGAGATGGGAGATGGTAGTGACAGTACATAGAATCATTTCAGCAGAGTTCGAACGATGTCATTTGGGAGCAGAATATTATCATAAGCTCTAGAACCATCTCTGATGGGGTGCCCAGGGATACTTGAGAGTCCCTCTTCCTCATGCCCTGGAATTTTTTGGAGGGAGTGGTGTACCCAATCTTTATGTCCAGAATTGTTCTGAACTATCCTGGAGTTTTGCCACATATCTTGCTTGGTCAGGTCAGGCCCTGGGGTAAAGAGGGAGAGAGTGGCTTGTCACTCTCCACCCTGGCATGGTCAATGCCAGCTCACTTGTGCCCCTAGGACAACTCTGTTAGAATCTGTTTCTTCCTGGTCCCTGGAGGAAAGCTTCCTGAACAAAATGTTCCCTCAGAGATTGTACAGAAGGGGCTGTCCCAATTCCAGACCACTGGCACCTGCTCCCAGGAGGGCAGGAAGGAGGGCCATTGAGATGGCGAGGCAATGTGTGCCTTATGACCCTCAGGGAGAGAGGAGCTGGTGGCAACCCAGTGCTGAGTGGAGCTGCTGGAGGGCAGGAGGCAGCCTCCCTGCCAACTGGATTAGTGCCTGCCTGCTCCAAAAATGTCTGATCCCACTGCCCACAGCAGGCATTTTTCTGGGTTCTAAACCAAGACCCGTCTTCTCAGTCCAGCCTGGGTGGGAATGACATGCCTGGATGTGACTCATCCCTATTGCCATAGAAGCACTTTTCCTTTCACCATGGAGGCAGGAGGGTGGAAGCTTTGGGTAAGGGTAGCCAAGAGGCAGAAGGTCAAAGCTTCTGTCTTCTCTCTCCTTACCACCCCTTGGACCTACTCCCTGGCATGGGGGAGATACCACTTTGAAGTAGCTGACAGAACTGCCTATCAGGCATCTTGGAACCTTCTAGGCATTTCTCTGGCTCCTTCCAGCCAAGTGACTGGAGGACTGAAAATACTTGGTCTGCTTCTTCTGCCCACCCACTCCACCCTTCCAGACTGAGAACAACGTAGATGTCAGAGCTGGAACTGACCATAGTACATAGACTGCAAGGGCTGGAAGAGATCTTAGAATGGAGAAGGGTAAAATGTAAGAGCTGGCAAGAGCAAAGACCTTTTAGACTGAAGGGCTCTCAGATGCCATCTAGTCCAATTCCTTCTTTTTTACAGATGAGACAAACAAGGCCTACAGAGGTTAATTCAACTGACCAATGTCATACAAGGTAGTAAGATGTGGAATTTGAACCCAGGTCCCTTGACTTCAAAGCCAGAAGCTCTTCCCATTATACCAAACTGCCTCTTATGGACCTTAGAGATCATCTTGTCCAGCCCTCTTGTTTCCCAAAGCAGGAAACTGAAACTCATTCTGGGAAAGTGGATCGATGAGATAATTACTATAAAGCCCTCTGCAAACCTTCAAGTGTGATATAGATGCTAATCATTATCATTAACCTGATGATGATGATGATGATGATGATGATGATTAGCACTCCAAATCATCCAGCTAGTTAGTAGCATGGCTCAAGCTAGAACCTAGGCCTCCTGACTCCCAGTATAGGGCTCTTTTCCACCTCTCTCCTTTTTCACATCTCCCCGTCCATCTCTTTCTTTCCCCATATAAGACACTCCTCCCTTTTCCCCAGTTCCTGAAAGGGCACGAAGCAGCTGCAGGGTAGGCGGTAGTGGGCACCGGTGCCAGCTGACTCAGATGGCTGTGCTGGCATAGAAGGGTCCCCTTTCCTTGGGGAGGATGAAGCCAAAGGATGGTGGGGTGAGGGGGTGGGGATGTCCCATGTCAGAGGCAATTTCCTTTTTCAGCTGCTCGGCTCTGGGAGTGAGGACAAGAAGAGGAGACACGTCTGAAATTCACTACCGGCCCTAAGTGGGCAGGTTGGCAGTGCAAATTGGGCAGGAGGGAAGTCACCGATGGGTTAGGTCTATCATCTGGATGTGTGGGGGGGGTGCCCAGGGAGAAGATGTCAAGGTTGGTACTTTGTACCTATATGGGTCATGAATTGATGCCAAGCGGGATTTAAAATACTGGCATCAGTGTCTGCCAGTTACTCAGCCCACTCTGTTGTACCTGCCCAGTTCCAAGTACCAGACGTGAAAGAAGAGCTTTGTGGGCAGCAGCCACACCCTCTCACCCTAGGGACATAAATGAGCCTCTGTGGCTGTCTCTCAAGTTATCTCCCACTCTCAAGGCTAGGTTGGGGCATATACACTAAGTTTTCTTCATCCTTTTTGCCTACTTCCACTAAGGGGGAAGGAGCATTTATCTTGAGCAACCACAGTGAGGGGAAGGGTGGTGATGCTAAGCGTCATCTTCCCATGGCTAGGGTCTTTCACAAGAGTAATGAGATGAGGTAGGGGCCCAGAGGATGAGGTAGCCTCACAGACAGGATGAGGTAAGGGGACACTGCCCAGACCAGACCTCCAGCTCTTCTCCCTATCCTGGAGGTAGAACTGTTTTCAGAAGGGTCCTCAGGATGGGGGTGGGGGGTGGGGGAAGGACAGCAGCCTGAATCAGCTGACTCCTCTCCCTCCCCTCCCCCTAAGCTGAGCTTGCAGGTTGGTCAACTTGCTGAGGTGGCAGTGATACCGCAGGAGTATCCCCGCCCACCCCAGCCCCAGGGTTGCTGAGAGAAAGGAGGGGAGTGGGGAGACAGGTTTTAGATAGAGAAAGATGACTGGAATTGGGTGGGCTCCACTGATAAGCACTTTGAGATCTGGGGAGATAGGGGACCTATGAATAAGTATCTCCCCAGGTAATTAGGGAGGAGGGAGAGATGGGGAGAGGATTGGTACCCTGGTGTACTACCTCTGACTGGATTTATCTATCACCCTTCTCCCCTCCCCAGTTTTATTCCCTCTAGCTCTAAGACACTCACAGATATTCCAATAGTACAATTGGACCCCCTCCCCAACATTCCTGATCTGACACCTATTTCTCCCCAGGCTGAGTTAACCCTTTGTTAGGAGTGGTGGGTTACCAATCCCCACCCCTGGAGGTGGGTGAGAAGGTCAAAGGTATATGGGGGCCCTAAGAGCTGGGAAGTCTGGACACTTGGGTCCCACTGGCTCAGTCTTCTAGGGTGGCCCTCGTCTTTGGGCATAGTCTCTCCATTCTTAGCCAGCTGGCACTGCCTTCCTCCTCTAAGTGAATTTAGCACTGGTTGACTTTGACCTTGAATTAACCTCTTCTGTCTGGGGAAAAGTGTGTAAGTGGGGGGTGGAGGTAAGACATAAGATGTTCAGGGAAGGATTTAGGCCCCCAGACCCTAGGGGTGAACTTCAGGACCGGTGTGGGTATCAGAGGAATTAGGCACCATCTCCCTACCCCCTTCCGCAGCCCCTTTCTGCTATTTTTTTCTCCCTCCCTCCCTAAATATTTCTAATAGACACGAATAGAAGTCTGGAGAAACTAAAGATGGGAAATCAGACGTTTACACTAGGCTTAAAGGAAAGGGGGCTTATTAGCCAGAGGGGAGTGGTCTCTTAACCCGTGCATACTCACTTCGCTTACCCAGTCAGAGATTTCTATCCAAATGCTATCAGGGAATGCCTGCGGCTAAATTTCCGCGGGATCCGAGCTGGAGCTCATCGACGTGAAGCTGTCTCTCTGTACCCAAGTCTAATGCTCCTGAGGACCCCGCCATCCTTCACTGGGGGATAATTCATTCATTGTTCAACTGACTTGTTATTCCCACGAGTAACAATCATGAATAATTAGGGTTAATTATGACATTAATTATGATGGCTTTTCTGTCTATTCTCTCCTATACCTGGTGGGGAAAAGGGGAAATTGGAGGGAGTGACAGCTAGTGTCACTGCTCCACTCCCCCTATCTCTCTCTCCACCACCCCCCAAGAAAAGAGAAGCCTTCAGCCCTGCCGCAGCCCCTAGAACCCAGCAGTCAGAAGGACCCGAACCCAGGACCTTTTCCCCCTGCAACCCTCCCCTCCTGGATCGCGGCGCCTCAGAGACTGCAGCTGGACAGAGACATAGAGAACGAGAGAGACCAAGAGAGACGCAGAGAAGGAAGGCATAACCAGTGAGACAGCGACCCCAGGGCCTCACACATTCAAAGAGAGCCAAGGCTACACACCGAGACTTATATCCCCGGGAAACACACGCCTGCGTACACGTACACGTACACACACACACACACACACACACACACACACACACACCTCACTGCTCCTCCCGGGCTCTACATTGATTCCCTCCAACAAAGGGGAGTTACAACCTTTCCCCAGACGAGTCGGGAGACAACTGACCCGAAGCATGTCTCAGTCTATGTATGTTTGTGCATGAGCGCGTGCACATGTGGCGTGTGTGTGGTGTGGTGTGGTGTGTGTGTGTGTGTGTGTGTGTGTATACACGCGCGCGCACGCGTGAGCGTGTGGTCAGTTACTCCCTCCCCTTCTAGTTTGCTCCCAGCCTGGTCCTCTCTAGAGGCTGAGAGGTTCTAAGATTACGCTGGACAGCGCCCGCCCTATGGTGGTGGTGGGAGAAGGGGCGAGCTATCGCGACCCGTTCTTGACCCGGGCCGCTATTTGTACCGGCTGTGTCGCGGCAGTGCGGGGACAAAACAAGCCCAGGTCAAGGAGAGGGTAGGACAGAGGCAATGACCGCGGCCCGAGGAGGGGAGAGCTGCAGGGCGGGAAAGAAGGAATGGGAAGGGAGGGGAGGAAATCACGACCCCTCCCCAAGTTACCTTGGTTTCCTGGAGGGTGGAAACAGTCCCAGAAGAGGGGTGAGCTGCAGCGTTCTCGGGTTCGTTCTCCTTCTCGCTCATTTCGGTCATGATCGTGGTCCCGCAGCTGGGGTGCTGCGTGAAAGGGGTAGCGGGGGCGGGGGGCAAAGGCTGGGCAGGAGGGCTAGTATAGATGCGAGTGAGGCAAGGCAGAAAGAGAAAGAAGATTCTCACTGGGGTCCTATAGCCCCTTCTTCCCAAGGTCTCGAGCCTGACCGCCTCCCCCAAATCAATCCAAGAGGAACCCTCCTTCCCCCTCCCCCCCTAAAAATGCCGAGCAAATACCCTAATTTGCTCTGCAGGTAGAGAAAGTTCTGGGGCTGCCCTGCCAGGAGGAAGACAATTAAATAAATGAATAATTAAAGGCAGATTGGGGAGAGAGGACCCCCAGGCACTGAGGGTTTGCAGAGGATGCTGTGCAGGAGAGGGAAGGAGGAATGAAGGAATGGAGGGATGGAAGGAGAGAGCTCAGGGTTGTGTCCGGTCGGGCCCCACTGTCCTCTGAGCCCGCCCCCCACCCCCCTCCCCCCAGCCCCTGCCTGGGCACTTGGCATCCCCTCTGCCCAGTCCTCGCCTCCCAACTTTGATTTAAGAGGTCGCTTGGCCCCACCCCCTTCTTTTCCCTGCTCCCCCGCTCCACTATGCAAATTAGGCAAATAGCCATTGGCTGCCGCTCTGACAAGGGTGGGGGGGAATAGGGTAGGTGGGGCCTGAAGGGATCAGAAAAAGTGGGAGGGGATTTGGAGCGGACCCTCAAAAAAAGAAAAGGAGGGGTCGGGGAGGGAAGGTAGGGGCTTCCAAGGTAATCTTCCACTCTCTGCTCGGCTATGAGACAGGGTGGATAGATAGGAGGCAAAAATGGATTAGAGGTACAGCAGGAGAGACGAGGGTCAGACTGACGGAAGGACTTTCTTATAGAGAAGGGAGAGAGTTAGTGGAAAGTAGGAATAGCACCTGAAGATGGGGCTATCTCATCTCAAGGTCAAGAGAGACCCCATACCACCCCTACTTACTCCTGGACTACAGAGAAGGCCAGTCCTTTCCTTGAGAAAGGACAAGAGACAAGTAGAACTGGCCAGCAAGAGGCCGTGCCAGTTTAACGTCTGGTGAACAGAGAGAAGAAACCTGGATTTCTGTCCAGATTATCATTTTGTAATTTTGAAATTCGCATTGCCTCTTTAGGCCTCAGTAGTCAAATTCTGTCAGACCCCTGTTTGCAGGGTCCCCAAATCCATCTAAAAAACCTCACCCAACCAAAGACTTTTTTGTAGGTTCCCTTGAGTTAAGGATTGGGGAGAAGAGAGGGAAGAGGAGAAGAGAGGGAAGAGGGGAAGAGAGGGAAGAGGGGAAGATGACAGAAACAGTAAAAACATCTCTCTCTCTCCTGGTCTCCCTCTTATGGAGTCTCCTGACATCTCGGGATTCCTGAGACTGTCACTTGTCTAGAGACCAGTTTCCCCAAATCCTCCCTTCACAATTTTCCCTTTCACTGTCATCTTGAGAAAGGAGAATCTCTATGGCTACCTTTCTCTATTGCTTAGTTCCTTGCCCTGGTCTAGGCATTTCTGTGGGTGGGGTGTGGGGAGAATCTCCTCTTCTGAGTGAATGGTGGACCCCAGTCAGGATGGACTCCAGTTGCTCTAGCCCATGGCTTTCCCACTGTCTGTGATGTGATGCTGGGGAGCCCATGGCTTTCCCACTGTCTGTGATGTGATGCTGGGGAGCACTTAATTAGATGGAGGATAAAGGGGGGGTTTTATTTATCTTCACATGGCACCTGGGAAGAATATAGTAATGAGATTACTGGAGGCTCATTTTCCCCTCCCACTACCAGCATTTCTTTGCCATCCCCCTACCCCTCCTGTCCAACCCATGATGATCTCATTGCTTCCCCTACTAGCCCACTCAGGTTATCAAGTCCCATGGCAGGAGATTTATTTGCAAAGTGCGGAAGTAGAGCAAGGGTAGACATGAGGATTAATTCTAGGAGGCTCTGGACCACCCTACTCCACACACACACACCTTCATCTTGAAGCCTGTACCCTTCATCTCTGTTCCTCTAAGAAGCATTAGGCAGGGAGTGGGTAACAGAGCCTATCCTGAACCCAGTCCTCAAGTCATTTATCCTCAAAAGTCACTCCCTTTCCCCACACCTCCAGGAGATTTTTCTGCCCTGTCCAGACCAGCCTTCCCCCTCCGTAATGCCAGAATTTCAGATGCTTGAACATTTCCAGGAAGGGTCGTTTATGTTTTTCTCCTGCTTGGGGCAAAATCCTGGTCTAGACAAAGTGGGAATGTGGGATTGTGGTCCTGGATTTGGTGATCAGCGGGAATGATGTTATAACCATCTTGCCAAGGACTACCCAATTGCTCTATTATCTCATTTTCTTCCTTTTAAAGGATTCCTTGCCTCTCCCTCCTCTCCAGGCAGGGAGAAAGACCTCCCCACACTCTTCTGGACTGCCAGTGGGGACAGTGACTAAGAGAGAGGGAAAAAATGGGTTTGATCATCAAGCACTCAGAGAGATTCTAGTTAGATCTCATGATGACTTTCTCAGATGGAAATAAATCATAGGGCAGATGGCCAAGGGGGAGGCTGGGAAATTTCTAAAAACATATCCCACTCAGCCCCCAGGTATCCTTCTTAGCTGAGGCAGGGGGTTGGAGGCTATGACCTCTGGAGGTCCTTTGAGAACTGGATGACTTCCTGAAACGTCTCTGCTCCTGACCAGAATAGTCTTTCTTTAATAGTGTCTGAGTCATGGCCTGTGCTGCTACTGCCTAATGACAGGCCACTCCCCAATCTTGTGTCTGACCCTGTTAATAAGGATAACAACTCACATTTTCAGGGTGCTTTCAGGTCAACAAAGGGCTTTCCCCACAACACCTCTGTGAGGTAGGTAGATCAAATATCTACATTTTGAAAATGAGAAAACAGTCTAAAAGAGGTTGCCCAAGGTCACAAATCTAACAAGTATTGGGATCAAGTCTCTTGCTTCTATGTCATACCGGCTTTCAATGCTTCCAGACCCCAGAGGACTGAGGTTCCCAGAAGAGAAAGAGAGTGGAGTTAGGGCGTCTACTCCTGGAAAAGGCTGAGGGAGGGACCACAGCAGAATCATATCCCAGTTTCAGATAAGGTTGGACCCTCCATTCCCACTGGAAACTCAAATGAGTTATAGGACAGGGTTTTCATTTTGGGAGGAGATAACACAGCAGTAAGATGGGTAACAGTCAGACTACAAGAAGGATTGATCTCCTGCCCACCATGAGGGGTGGATAAACAAGCTGGAATTATCTAAGATGTTTCTTCTGGAGGAGAACTAAGGGAGGAGAGGATGAGGTTGATTCGGCATGGTAGGGGATGGATGAAATAACCTTAAATCTGGGCCTCAATGAATTCTCTGTGTCCCCTCAGTAAAACCTGATGTATTTGATGTTCAAATGAGAAGACTTTTAAGTCCTTTCACTTCCTCCCTGGTGTCTCTGACCCTTTCTGAATGGACTGAAAATGCTGGGGCTGGAATAATTAATGACTCACTTCTACTTAGGTGTTCCCAGCCATGAAATCTGGAGATCCTTTGGGAATGGGGTTGAGTGGTTCATTTTTCCTGATTTTCTTGGTCTCTGTGCTGGGAAGGAGGGCAGTGGTAGTCAGCAATTCTACCTAAATGGGGTCAGAAAGTGGGGGCAGTGCCTATGGATGGAAGGCAGTGGGGTTGGCCAAGAAACCAGCCCATGTCTCAGCCTTTCCTCCATCCGGGCAGGTCTTGTGCCCCTGGGCCCCTGGAGGCAGACACCACTCTAATGAGCTGCCATAGCAGCCATCAGTAATTATGACTTTATGGAAATATGAAGGGAGCTTACGCAAATCTCTGACACACTTCCCGGCTCCCAGCATCTGGGACAGCCAGGTCCCCAGGGGCTGGTAGAAGGGACAAGAAGCCAAGCTATGGGCTCCCACCTCACCACCAGCTTCCCAGAGCCTCAGGTAACTGGCACAGAGGTGGATATTGGACTCTGTTTTCTAAGGCTGCCTGTCTCTTCATGTGTCTGTGTCTGCCTTCAGGTGAACTATTCTCTTTTTTTTTGTTCCCTACACTCCCCAAGGGGAAGGATGCTTCCTGGCTTTCTCACCCCCAAACTAGGACTTTTGTGGGATGCCCTTATAGGCCGAGGGGGGCTACTGTGAAAGGAAGTATGGTATGGGGGATACTCCCATGTATCCCACTTCCAAGAAAACTATTTCTTTCAACTTTCCAGGAAAATACTCTCTCCCCCTTTCTCCCACGCAGACAGACTGGGCAGAGGCCAGAGGTAGTTGCTGAGAAAACAGATATTGGGTTAGAGACACAGGGTATAAGTGAGAGGGGGGAGCCCTATGAGTGTGGCCGCCTGACTATCCTCACCTGGCCCTGATCTGTCCCTAAAGTCTTCTGTCTCTTCTCATTCCCCGACCCCCACCCATCAGGCACCTACTGTCATGGTAACAGCCATGGGATTAGTGTTTTTGGGGTGGGGAAGAAAAAAGCTGATTGGATCCAGGGTTGTAGTGAGTGGAGGGGTAGGATATCTGGTGTTTCCCTGAATGACAGGATGAGGGTCTGTCTCCTGGTTTTGTTTTTTTTGTTTTGTTTTGTTTTTTGTTTTTTGGAAAGGGGTAACTTGGGAGCCTAGAGAGCTAGAGGGGATAAAGCTGGATTGGGAGAGTACCTTTATACTAAGTACTGACCCTCCCCATCTTTTCTGCATGGAGGGAAAAGGGTCTTCATTCTTCTGTTATTCAAGCTATTCAAGGACCTTGCCTGGTGTCCTGAGTACTAGGGGAGAACTAAGAGGGTTAATGGCTAGGCTGAGGTCCTGTGTAAGGACTCCATCCAGACCCAGTGGCCACAGGCCATGTGGTAAACCACTCCACTCCAGTATCTTTGCCAAGAAAATCCCAAATGGGGTCACAAAGAGTTGGACATGAATGAAAATGACTGAACAACAAACAAATGAGAGAGGAACAGAGGGGCAATAAATATAGGGCAAATTGAGTCTCATTTCTAAACAGGTCTAGCTTTCAGGTTATTAACCCTTCATAGCAAAGACTATAGAATTTAGGGCTTTTGTTGTTCAGTTGTATATAACTCTTCATGACCCCATTTTGGGGTTTTCTTGGCAAAGATACTGGAGTGGTTTACCATTTCCTTCTCCAGCTCATTTTACAGATGAA